ACCAAACAACACATGTTACTCGCCTACGCCGATGACTTCGCTATAATGGGTCGAACATTTCGCGCGGTAACAGCCACCTTTGAACAAATTGAAAAGGAGTCTGCCTAAGTGCGTCTGGCAGTAAACGGCGAGAAGACCAAGCTGATTGTATTAACGCGCAAGACGCCCAGTAGACTCGGACCAAATAGTAGCGGGAACGATGGGTTTAGAACATAGAAATCATAAAATATTTTACATAAAATTGCAATTACTTGGTAGAAACGTTGTCCGATTTTACTTGTTGATTTTAAATATATTTTCGTTAGTTTGTAGATTATACTTATTTATCGCATTATTTGAGACATTTTTATATAATCTAAATTTATAGAATGCACACGGATTGCCTTTGTGGAATGTAATGCAGCGATTTTCATAAGATGCTATCCAGTCATGCAAAAATGATTAGGAGCAACCCGATCTTGTTATATCCTTGAGCAGATATAAAATAAAAGCCCGAAATTATAACATGGATGATACTAAATTGTACAATTGGGAAGACATTATTTTATATATTTCTGATGTGTTCTGAATATCTGATGAATGATAAATCAGTAATATATTAATAACTAAAGTATATCAAATATTTTATTATAATAAATATAACAAAAAATTATAGTAAATATAACTATTTTATAGTATAGAAAGTTACTTTTTCAGGGTCTTTTGGTATGGTAGGCATTCTGAAACTTAATTGCAACACTTATTACTGCCTTTGTCCAAATTTGAAGCAAACTGTAAATTTTTTATTTTGTATTTCATAGGCCCAAAAAGCGATTTTTTCAAGACCAAATGGGCGAGGTCTACCAAATCTTGGTCCGATCTATCCAGTTTTTTGTCAATTGCTTTATAGACATAAGAACATATAAATTGCAAACCTTCATTGAATTTGGCTGAATATTAAATCAAAAGAGTGAAATTGTCAAGACCCATTATATGGGAGGTATGTCAAACCTTGTTCCGATCTACCCAATTTTTTGTCAATTGGTTTATGTATGTATTGCTAAATTTCATTGAATTTGATTGTACATAACGATTTTATTGGCCAAAAAGCGTGAAATTCTCAAGGCCCATTATATGGGAATTGCGAATTTCGGTTTAAAGGGCATTATGATGTCCTACAACTTGCTGAACCTCGGTTCCCGAGGTTTACCACTAAGTAATGAAGCCACAAACTTATTCTAGGCCTGGTTTCCATGGACCCAGCTCACCATTTTTGGTTGGGTGATTACGGGTCCATGTAGTAATGTAGGCAATATTTAATTGCCTAGCCGCACGAATCTACGATTCCTTTGCTATTGATATATTTAAAAATGATATTTGCATTTTTACACATTTTATATACAGCAATTATTATTTTCGATATATAAATGCAAGTGAGCGTTATGGAAAATTCTCAAAATGTGTTCATTTTCTACAATCAATTTAATTACGATTGCTTTAACAAATTATTCTATGCGAAAATAAACTTCGCGATCATTGTAATGAAAACCCCAAAGCGTGGACTGATACTAATAACGCATGGTAGAATATACAATCCTCAAACTACTGCAATTTAGATTACAAAGTTAGTTTACATTGTGTAGGAATTAACGAATACTTGGGGTTATAATTATATAAGGGCTATGTCTAATTAATGACCGACATGTATCAATTTCGAACCCAATATTTTTGTTTTGTGTCTCAATTCTTTCCTTCAGGAGGTATAATTTAATGGGGGAGATGCCTAAATGCTGGCCGATATATTTCATCATCGTCAGGTTCGAGGTTTTTATCACGATTTCTTTAGAAAGCGGAATGATTAAAACTGACTATTTCGAGTAATGATTATAGAATACGCCTATATGAGTACAACACCTACACACGGAATCAGCTAACTATTTTAATATAAGAAGGGGGGTTATATGGGAATTATCCATAAAAGGGAGCGACTATTAATAATTTTTGGTAGGATTTGTTACCATATGCGACTACACAATACCAAATTACAACGAGTTCACTCAAGAAATGGGACTATATTTATAATTTTTAGTGAGGACATTTGGTACCCAATAAGAACCCATTGTACCACATTTCAGTGAATTCCGTAAATTGGGGGTACAGTTATATGGGGCTACCAGAAAAAGTAATTTGTAGTGGAAATATTTGGTACCCATATATAACCCAATGTACCAAATTTCATCGAATTCGTTTGAAAACGCGCTCAAGTGAGGTACCGTTATATGGGGGCTACCAGAAAAAGTGGAGCGATATTTATAATTTATAGTGGAGGCATTTGGTACCAAATTCAGCTAATTGTTGAAAAACGCGTTCACTAAAAACTGAAAAATATCGGATTAGTGAAATATGGGATAACTGAAATAGCTTTTGGAGTCAAATATTGCAATGTCCTTTCAAATCATTCCGTATTACTGAAAATCATGAGAATGAAAGATAATGACGGAATATTTTGCATTGAGTAATCACATCTTCAAAGCCCACCATAACAGATATTTTTCTGCAATTAAAGATTTTTCCGACGTATGGAACGTGTGTGTCAAGTATATATAAATTTGGCGTCGAAGAACGTTAAATTTCGTTCGCAAAAAAAATCTGTTCCGCATTTTTATATTTTATATACAAGTAACAAAGATATGTTACAAAATGTACCATTCATAGATGAAATGTTAAAACGAGGTCCCATATAATTAACAAAATTTTGAAGTCTTCTACTTTTTAATACTCTCAGTTACTATTTAAAGCCTTCAAGATGATACTCAAATTTGAAATAGGAACAGTGTAAAAATGAGAATCTACAATGAACAAATATTGCAAAGAAATATGTTACTTATTCACAACCCCATACAGGCAAGTCAGCTATTAAAAAGACTTAAAACGGCTAGTATGAAACCTTTTCAAAGACATGGACCTATATTTTCCGTTTTCAAAATCAATCAATCAATCTATCATAAATATTATATATATATATATATATATATATTATAGACCACATACTAACATGCATAAAAAGACAGTTCATAATAAAATCCCTTTAGCTGTGAACATGCCAACCAGTTTCAATTTCGATCGTCTATTTCCAGAAAATTCGAAACCTACCTATTCGATATAAAATATGAATTATTGAAATTCCTTAAACTGAAAAATTGTTCGCTTATTCGGATAACTGAAATTATTTTCAGTTAACCGAACTCCGCTTAAGTAAAAACATCGGATAACTGAAACAAACATCCAGATTTTTTCCGTTTCAGTAAAGCGGAGTCGACTGTAGTACTAGAAATTTGGGGGATAGGTGCCTAGTATGTTACAGTAGGGTAAACCCTTCAGCGTCCTCTGAAATTATATAAACTAATTTAAATCTGCAAATCAGTGATGTAACTATACGCCGGAAATAATGTATATGCTAGAAGTCCTAAAATAGCACGTCCTATAAAGTTTCCCTTTTGGCAAGGAAGCATGCCAACGCTGAGTTTTGCAAAATCTTATAAAGGCTGGCCACTAGAAAAAGCCGTAACATATTATGGGCAAATTAAACAAAAATTGTCTTATATGGTGGAACAGGATTCAGAGAGTTCACCCAAACACAAAATACTAATTTTGATACACAGAAAAACTGTATTATGTCGTATGGCGAATCCATGTGATAATTGGTAAAATGGATGGTATAACCTAATATATTTGCATATATTTTCCATATTTTTTGTATATTTTTTTTTTAATTTTCAAAAATAGTCATGAAAAATATTTTTTTACATTTTTTATGATGTTAATGTATTGCATATGTGAAATATGTTTCGCATATCTCATGCATATGCTAAATATGCAAATAAAAAACAGGTACCCTTCAATGAATTGTAAGTCGTTTGAAACAAAGTTGTATCCAATCAGAATTTCTAAATCTTAATCATAAAAAATATGCAAAATCCGAGGTCTATCTATTAGGAAGAATGTTGCCTACATCGGATTGTTGAATAGAGTTTAAATTTCTTCTACTATATCTTTGGATGATGTAAAGACCATTTGAACAAAATTTTGGCAGCCTTCGTCATGTGATTCGGCAGTTAAATAGTTTTACCCATTTTTTGGTAATTACTCGGAAATTTACCAACGTGTCTAAGATATTTTGAAATTATAAATTTTGAAGCGATTTGATAACAGAAACTCGGAAATAGGGGCTTAGATATTGTATTGGCGAATGAGTATTTACTCACCGTGTGGATATTTACACGGTAAATATGATCTCTGGACATAGTATGTGCATCATGACACAATAAATATGTAGGTTAGCGCCGCTGACTGTCCGATTCATGGCATTAATCATGACTCGATTAACTGTCAAAGTCCCTAATTTTTACTTAAATTGGATGTGTAATGTTGCCAATCTATATATAAAAGAAATTTTGACAGATGGTCGAGACAAAAACAAAGGTTTTGATTTTGATACATCACCTTATTATTGCATCATGGTCTGATTGATTATCAAAGTGCATAGTAAATATTACTAGATAAAATTTGGGAGATGGTCGAATAAATAACAGATGTTTTTGTTTTGATACATCAACTAATTATTGTATCATGACAAACATACACAAAAGATGAATTTTAAGGAAAAAAATGTTTTTGCAAAATAGTTAGGCTGAATCCTTGATTGTTGTATTTATATTTATTAGTGGGGAAAGTATGGCATTGTCCGCCTAGGGGTAAGACAGGGACGACTATAGTTCCGGATCTCGCCTCTGATCCTCATCAGTTCCCTTAGTTTGTTGTTGGATTATTCTCCACAGAAGCTATTAATAGCTTCTTTACAAAAAACCTTATGCTTGTCTCGGCAAATAACCAGTCAACATTGACTATTTGGCAAAAACAAAATACAAATGGTATCCCAAATAACCCGCCAACACTACTGAAAAAATTGTAATCATTTGTCATGCCCGACCTAATTTTGGATCATACTCCAATATAAACAATCATAATCTAGGCAGAGGTTTTTTTGTCGGCTCGGCTGAATTTAATTTCGTTTGTACTTGAATATATCTTACCAGAGTTTCAATGTTTTGATACACCAACCGAGAACCTTCGTGTAGCATTTGATTTTCAGTTGGGTTGTCAATATTGCTTTCTTGAGCTTTGAACGGTCTGGCCTTATTCGATATGTTATCTGCAGAATTACCAAAAAGTCCTCGAACTTCTGCCATTTTTATAAGATATTTCGCGTTTAGCCTAGTTATTTGTTTCCGTTGCAGCAACGATAGGAAGCAACCATTTTCTGACTGCTTTAGGCATTTATCTTGATTTTTACAAACATCAGGTATATCCACGCATATAAACTCATCTATTTCGGGAACTGTGACTTCATTATTAATATCTGGGTTCTCGTTAGGGGCACTGGTCGTGCTTTGCTGTTGCTTTACATCAGATGATACGTTACGTTTCCTGGGAGAACTACCCATCGCTGCAGAAGGAATATTTGCAGCTTCTGCCTCTTCTAAGGCTTCGAGTCTCTTTCTTTCAAGAAATATATTACGGTGGTTTTGTAATGCCGACTCGTTAACCAAATTTATGGCACATTTTGCCATATCTTGATTTTCACTACTGAGAATAGAATGAGTCTGGTATAATATAAACTGCACCTGAGGGCGTGACATAGCCAAAGACAAAGTACGCAGTTGTTCTTCCAAAATTAAGGACACCCTGTGTTTTCCATCATTGCTTATAGCAGTCTCTGTCAACATTTCCAGCATACCCAAATCTCCACCACGAGAACATATGAGGTCGATAGGATCAGATATGGCACTAAATGAATTGGGTGGATTTGCGAGTATACCAACGACAGTACGAAATCTGTTGGATTCCAATGGGAATGATGTAAATGATTCGGCGAATAATCGGACATTATTTATTCCGAGACCTTCAATGTAATTCCGGTACTGTTTTAGATTTGACCCGGCTCCATACACGTAGAAATAGTTGATTCGGTTCACGGAATAAAACAATGACGCTAAATAAGCTGTGGAACGTGGCGAATCTATGTGCGTTTGCAGAATATCTCCGGATAGATCATAGAAATCTAGTAACCTTGACATGATGGCAGGCCCCAATGAGAATGTACGATCCTGTAGGGTAAATAAAATATGAATTTTTAGTTTGTAATATATGAAAATAGCTTGGATTTCTAATTATTTCGACTAATCTATATTTTTTGGATTATAAACAAAAAGAAAACCAAAAGTGTGATAACCAAAAGCTGATTACTCAAGTTTATTTTTTTAATTGGGAAAATATAAAAATGTATTAAAAAAGAAAAATTTTCAGAAACAATTGCAAACATGAATTAAAATTATTTAGCCAGGAGAAGTGATGCACGCAAATAAGTTGAAATTTTAATGTAAAACAAGAATTATGAATAATGTTGTATGGACTGGTTAATTCATGTACGTAGTTCTGATAGTGATCTAGGCTGTTCGTCAAACATGGCATAAAATAGAGAGAGTGGAGCAGATCTGACAATTGTGTTTCTTAAAGCTTACAAATTCTTACAGGGACAATTATCTTAAAAAGTAGTTTCTAATATATTTCGGTTACAGATCTCCCGTTGATACGTCCAGTAATTTTGCCTTTAAAGGGGTTAAAACTAATAATTGTTGAGCATTTATTTTACTCTCAAATATTTGAATACATAAATAAACCGTTAAGAAAGAGTATTCATTTAAGTTATTGTGGATGTTATAAACTAGGCTTCACTATTGTTTGTATGTAAGTAGTGATCATATGGCGTTTACACTTGCCAACACCTGTCAAAGGAAAAATTATGACGTACTAGCTGACGTTGTTTGCCTTATCGAAATTGCATCAACAACATGTTTGGTAAAACTTAACGATTCCATGGAATATATATTTTATTTACCATTAAGTTTATTTTCCACGAGATTGTAAACATTCATTTACTTGAACCCAAGCAAGATTCCACATTTAATGCAGACTCAAGTACCTCACAATAATTTTTATAACCAAAAGAGTAATTTATCCAACCTAACCATTTTCAGTAGAAGTTCTAGTTATAATATTGCTCCAAGATATAGGAGGTGATGCAAATGTGGTATACCCATTTGTTTTTAGATTACCAAATTTTTATTTTTTATCCGATTAAATTGAAAATTTACACTTAACATGCTACATGTGTTGTCTTTCCATGTATCAATTTGAAAATAATATTATTCTAACAATTTAAGAGATATTTGAGAAAATATTTGAAATCCCATAAAAAGTGATTTTAAAAAAAGTGCAGGTAATGTGGTATACCACATGATGTTAATGTGGTATAGTATAATTTTCACTTCCAATTGATATCTTATATAATTTATTGTTTTTAATGAATGCGAATTAGCTCGAGATTTATGTCTGTTAAGATTTTTAACGGATGCGTTGAGTGCAACTTTAATTTTTATTATATAATAATGTGTACACATGGCAATATTTAATTTTTGTATGGAGAAGTTGTTAAAACTCATAGCCTTTGTTTTTCATCCTTGTGATTCATGGTAGACTCTCGTAGAGTACAAATGTTTCACATAGTAATGAGATTTTGTCTAGTGCTGGCCTTTTTGCATGCAGAATCAAGGTATACCACATTACCTACACTTGTGTTTACTGATGAAATGTCTAGTTTTTTTTCCAAATTGGTGATTATGTGGTGCAATCGCGCATATTATTTGATTTTTAGTTCATACTGATTATTTTAATGCTTTAGTAATAAGGATTAAAGTACATCCGTAAAACAAAAAATTATTTTTAAACTTCGACCGAAAAAAGTCAATTTCATGAAAAATTTTATTTTTGGTACTGATTCTCAACGTGATTTAAATAAATTAAACAGGTCATTGCTATCTTATTTTTTTGAGAACATCAAACTATAGAACATGTTTCAGTTATTCAAAAATGTTCAGTTTACAAAAAAAGTGACTATACCACATTACCAACCTATACCACATTTGCATCACTTCCACTATTGACATTAGAGTGACATCGGGAAATGTGGACTATTATTTTCTTTGTATGATATTGTCGACGTAACAACGGTAAAAAATAACAACAAATTGTTTTCATAACATAATATATATGTTGACTAAATATATATATATATATATATATATTGCATTACACTAAAAAACTCAAAACGGAGAAATAAACATAGCTGAATATGCGGACCATAATATGTGGGTAATGTATAGAGATGGTATTTATCGGGTAAATACCCAAGGGGTACGGTTATATGGGAAGCTATATCCAAACATGGACCCAGAAACCCTATTTCCCATACCAGTATTCTTTTTGAGATTAAAACCTTGAGAGCAAAATTTAGGTAGCCTGGGTTAAGTGGTTCGCCAGTTATTAAGTTTATACCCAATATTTGGGTAAATACTCAAAATAGGTGTAAATTTATATGTGGGCTATCAGAAAACGTGGACCTCGTCGATAAATTGTTGCATGGATATTTGGTACCCATAGAGAACTCCCTGTGCCAAACTAAGTCAACTATATTTTAAAATGTGGCTAACTGATAAAAATGTCCATAAATTTTGGGTAAATACTCAAAATATGGGTACCTTTATATGTGGGCTACCAGAAAACGTGAACCTACGTCGATGAATGTTTGCATGGATATTTCGTAAACATAGAGAACTCCCTGTGCCAAACTAAGTCAATTTGATTGTAAAATGTGGCTTACAGATAAGAATTACATTTAATTAGAAGGATGCAATTATATTTGGGGCTATATCAAAACATGGACACAGAGAACCCATTTTCCATACCAGTTTTCCTTTTTGCCATTAAAAACATGTGAGCCGAATTTTGGCGTCAAGTGGTTCGCCAGTTAATATTTGGGGATATATATTCAAAAGGGGGTTCCTCTATATACAGGCTACCAGAAAACGTGGACCTACGGCGATACAATTTTTAATGGATTTTTGGTACCAATTCGGAACTCTCTGTGCTAAACTAAACCAATTTGATTTTGAAATGTGGCTAACACGTAAAAATTGCCTTTAATCGGGATGTACGATTATATGGGGGCTATATCAAAACATGGACCAAATTCCATACCAGTATTTGTTTCGATACTGAAAACATGCGAGCAAAATTGACAGCCTGTTTCAAGTGGTTTGTCAGTTCCAAATAAATACCATCAAATGACTATTTACACAATTTGCAATGTATTTACCCTCTGCCCATCTCTAATAATTTGTGATCATATCTAAGTTGTTGCAATGTTTAGGGATGGGTGCAATTTTTATTAACCTCCATTGGGACATAAAATTCCAATTTCTCAAGGCATTGTTAAAGGCAAAGAGTAAATTTTGTTTCGCGGCGTTCACTATTTCATAGGTTACACCATCGACTCCAATAGCTGATGGCTTTTTCTTTTTCATATGATTGAATAAAATTTCTCTATTGCGAACAGTGATGGAACTTCCGATGCCGGAGATGTTAACTGGATAGGTGAATTGTTTGGGACTTGGTCCCATAGGTGTATTAAGAACATTTTGTCATCATCGGAGGACCAAATGATTTGATGATGAGAACTTATTGGATTTTTGCATCCGCGAACAAGTGACTTCGAGTTTGGTTCGTTGTTAAGATACTGAATTTGTTATCTTCAATAAGTCTAACTGCATTATTATTGTTATTGACCGCATCATATGTTTTCTGAGGACGTCAGATGTCGACTCTAAAAAGAATAGATATTTCTAAGGTTCATGTTTCACGCAGAAACTAAGTTAAGTTAAGTTATTTGATAAATTCGTTATTTCAAATGTGCTTGAAATGTAATTTTTCTGAACTTTATGATCTTTTTTAAGACATATTTGTGTAGTTTAGAGATGCATCAATGGTAAAAAATTCACTTAAAACATATATGGGCATTTCCGGAAAAAGGTCAACAAAAGCCGAAAAAAATAAGTACCGAATTTCATGGGGGTTTCCAGAATGATTCTGGCCTAAAATAGTGAATAAAAGTTTATATATTAAACATATTTGTAAGCGAAGTTGATTTTGTTGAATATCCTGCACTGGGTTTATTTTTTGCCTTATTTCGGTTAAATATTTACTACATTTAGAGTTATCTTTCTTTAGATAATAGGAGTTACGGCATAAAGTACAAAGAAAGACAAAAGAGCACGAAATAACGACATTTGTCCAAATCTTTTATCTGCTCTTTTTATGTAGAGTGAGTGACCAAAAAAACCAGCATAAGTTGTCAAATTTGAGCATTTATTAAAAAGAGTGGACGCAAATTTGTAGTTTACGTGTAATTTAGTGACCGTAATTGTAATCTCTCTCTATTTGTTTAAGTTATTGTCATTTTTCATTTAATTAAAATTTAGATGTAACAACAAAATATTAATAGAAGAAATGAAAAGCAAAGACGACATATGGACAAGATTAAAAATAACGTAGAAAGGCGATCAATTGTTCTTGAGGTATTAAATAAAAAATACAACGAAGAGAAAAATATCATTGTTGCACCAGAGATCGAATATAATCAAAATAAGTTGGATGTTACCAAAAAGTTTTATTTAAACAATGAAATATTCGTCCAAAACGAGAATGGTGCAAGTGCCATAGGCAAAACCATTGGCGTAAAGTTTCTGAAATGGACGCAAAATGGGAAGATGACAAAAATATCAGGGTTATAAAACGAAAACATTTCATTTCATGCAACACTGACTGTTTTATTTAATTATATATACATATGTTAAGAAAAAAACCAGTGAGCGGAGCAGTATAGTCGGACGGGGCCGACCATACGATACCCTACACAACTACCACGGAAACCGAACTTTCTGCGGATGTTTATTCCGAGCCTGGGCAATATTTCGTGATATTTGCAACCTCTTGCCCGATTAGAGGTAAGCAGCACCTCTTCCTTACACTGACATATTTTCCGAATATTACGAGTATTTAGTACAGCTATTGTCCAGATTCCTTTCACCGTGGGTTGTGTTGTGATGTTCGGCTTTCATTTGTGGTCTATAGATCGACTCGAAAATAACACAAAAAAGTAAGTTTTCGGTCCACTTCATTCCAAAATTATTATCTGATGTATTATTGAATT